GGCCCACTTTGGGCACTTTGCCCCCCTCGAAAGCCCCTGCCCCGCCGGGGCTGCCTTAATGGGTGTTATTTTGTTTTGCCGTAAATATTTTTGCAATGGGCGCTAATTAAGTTTGGCTCTTTTTGGGCTCTTTTGACTGCATCCTTCGCACTTTGTTATGTGTGAAACTTTTAAATTTCGTTGGGTCGGCAAAGATGAAAACCGCCGTGTGGTATACCCCCAAATTGGCGGGCATTAAAGGCCCCGCGATTCCCCTAACCGCCTTCGCCATCCACCTCGCCGCTCAGGAGCAGGAGCAGGAGCAGGAGCAGGAGTATCAATACGAGCAGCTATTAATCTGCAATTGCAAATTGCTCATACGCCACGTGGTGCTCGTGGAGCGAGGAGCGTCTATGAATGAACTGTGAGTGGGTGAATGTGTGTAGAACGATGAGTAGAACAAGAGGAAAATAAAGCAAAAGGCCAAGGGCCAAGAGCCAAGAGCCATCGCCCCCGACACTGCAGCCAATTTCATTAGCCGTAAAATATTGTTTGGCATTGTTTTCTGGCCCCGCGATTTCGCTGCTTTTATGACTCACTTTCACCGCTGCCTCGTTCTCCTCCTGACTTTGCAGCCTTTAGTTGCTGTTTCAAATCGATTGGACAATAAATTAGCATTATGCGGTTACAGCCAACTCAAATTCCTCGAGATGAGCTGGCAACATCTCGGCGACTGCCGCGGGTTCAAAGTTCTCTGCGTGGGCGACACACGGCAGTCGGGCGTCTTATCACCGCCTAGTCAAGAAACTTCCACAGATTGCAATCGCGATTAGTGGATTTCCACTTTGGCCGGAACGGAAAAATTCAATGCTCATTGCAGGTACGAGTTGATAAAATTGCTAACACCTGACGCAAATTATAGCTGATCGTATCAGAAGAAGTTGGTGGGCTCCAGTGGCTTTTCTATGGCTATATAAACGCATGTCGCACTGAGAAAAAACTCTTGGCAATTCAGTTAAAACCGTTCAAGCCCTTTTATATATTGCTTTTTATATGGAGAGCCCAAGCTAATTACATATGTAAGTATCTAATAATATAGATTACGAAATTAAGTACCTTAGAAGAAACAAAACAGAGAATGTTTTTGAATATTTTTGAAAATATTTTACTTCAGCGAATTAAATGTTTATAGCTTTTCCAACTAGGATTCTAAGAAAATCGGTGCTTCATCCGCATATGCTGTATATTTACTTCACCGAATTAAACAATTAAAGATTTTTTAACTTAGTTTCTAAGAAAAGCTGTGCTTTATCGCATATGCTGTATGCTGAACATGTCAAGATAACTTTTCCACCACATTAAATCGTTCTCGAAGCATATTAGCATACCCATTGCGCTCCATCTCGAAATACACTTAATGAGCCACTTAAAATGTGACATTTCGATCACTTTCCAGCGCAATTAACTAATTACTTTCCGATGGGAAACGAGAAAGTTCTTCCCCTCGAAAGTCATAAGTGTGCTTACGTGCCCATGTGCTGTGCCATTTAAGCCGAAGTTCATTCAAGTTTTTCCCCTTCGAAATGAGAAAACAAAAAACCAACCGTGCAGTCCAACCGTAAATCGTTTCCACCACATCCCAATCAGTTTCCACGTCCATTCATTCAGTCTCGAGAGTTTCCCATGTGCCGCACGCGTGTCTCATTTTTTCCCCCACATGATTGGCAAAATACGTCAAAAAAATATTACTCATACGCCACCGCCGCCGGCACTCCAGTCATCGCCATAGACCGTCATGCATTAGTTATTAGGGTTTTACACTAACGCCACCAAATGGCAGGCACAGACAATCGCAAGATTGCGATGATATTCTCGTACTCATGTGGACACCGCAGACACGGCCAATTTTGGTCAATTCCCAGCGCGCCGAGCGAAATTGATTCGAACTCGAAGTATCCGCCAATTGGACAGATCAACACGATAGGCCGATCAAGTGACACAGATATCCGATCCGTGGCAACATGCTTCGCACAACGGTTTAAAAATAGCTCTGCCTAATCATGACACTGGTGGGCGTTGGGCGGTGGGCGTGTGGCGGTGGGCGGTGGGCGGCCGCAGTGGGAGTGAGCGGTACGCGGTGAAGCGTGAACCGCAAACGGTAAATATTAAACGAGAAACGGAGACGTCGCCGCTTTGACCATGAGTAACGACGAGTGCTCAATTACTTTTCGATTGATCATGGTTTTGGCGCGCGGTGAAATTTAGACCGCTATTCAGACTGCCACGCCTACCCGCCGCAGCGCCTATTCCCCCACCCCCCGCGGCGGGGCATCCGCATTCAGTACGCCGCTGGCGCGTCGGCAATCATGAATGAATCGCCGTGTTTGCGAGCGTGAGAGTCCGGCTCGCGGAGCGTATGAGTAATGTTCTTGCGAAATTGAACGGAAATAACTGAAATTCATGCCTGCCCCCATAAATTGACGACTATTTCATCGGAAGAGAGTGTCTCGTTCCGATTCGTTTCGTTTCATTTCGTTTCGGATCGGATCGGAACCGATCGGCTCGCAATGGAAGTCGGAGAGTTGGAGAGCGGGAGAGTCGGAGAAGCGGAGAACCGGAGAATCGGAAGTGGCGTCGTGTGAAAGTCATTCGATAAGCGCCAAGTAGCCGCTCACTTTATTTCTCCAGAGACCGGCAAATCCCACCGCTGTTTTGTTTATCTGCGAGCGGGAGAGCCAGTCGTTAGCCAGCGAGATATGCAGATGGTTATTGTACACGTATGTGCAAGCTCGCATAGCTCTCCCAGCGACCTTATCTGTGGGAGATGGCCCAACCGATCAGTCGATCAATCGATTATGTGTCATTCCAGCGGAGAGCGCCAGAGAGCCGTGAGTATTTCCCATCGTGTTGAAATCTGGCTGGCCTAATCATTTACTAAGCGGTGTTTTGCTTTCACGCCCATTGCGGCTGGCCATAAATCTGTTATGTTTTGCTGTGGGCCATTTACTACTGGTTCACTAACCGAAAATTTATTTCAATTGATTTTGTAGTGAGTAACACTCTTCGATTGCTGCCTTTGCTATATATTATATTATGTATATGTATTATATTAGCTTAAGTCTTGCTTACACTTTTCTTCTCCTTTTCCCACACTGTCTTCAGCGCAGCTTGCCAATCGCAGTACCTGTACCCTGTACCCTGTACCCTAGGTACACCCAGCTTTTATGGCTTTCTCACTTTGTTTTTGGCACTCGGCGAATGTTTTGAGCGCTTTCCTTGCGATTGCACACTCATGACAGGCGAGAGAGCCTCTTGCTGTCTCTCTTTCGCTTCTTTGCTGATTCGCGTCGAGCGGAGCGGAGCGGAGCGGACCGGCGGACTGGGCGTCCGCCTCCTCATTAGTATGCTCATAGTAACTGAGGAGTTCAGTCAGTCAACGACGGCCCCGAAAAGCAAAACAGTAAATACAAAGAAGCAAGCACACAGCGCTGCACGCGAAAAGGCGAGAAAAAGTGAAGTGAACGCCGCTGTTGCAAAAATTATACAAAATATAAGGCTAAGGCGGCGAGAAAGCCACTCCACCACACTCCACACACTCCACTCCAAGCTCGCCATCGCTCTCCAGCGGCGAGAAATCGACAGCGCCGTTGACTTCGACTGCGATCGGATCGGAATCAAATCATAGCAGTCAGTCGAAGGTAGCGCGTCGACAGTTAACGCGATAGTTCCTCCAGCCGCGATACGAAGATACAAAGATACGCAGCCAAATTGGCCAAATCGCGCTCGCTATTATTCGTTTTTTTTGTTCGTTGTTTTTGTTTTTTCGAGTTGCATTCTGGAAGCTTCCTGCCGGCAAGTACACGCAAAAAGAAAGCAACTGCCACCAGCGTTACAAAGGCAAAGTGCGTGTCAACCAAGTACGAAATTTGTGCAGAATTCCCAGCCAACGATTTTTATGTAAATGGTAAGTACACGTAACTCCTAAGTCGAACTACCAGGCGATTTTTCAGTTAATTTTCATTTCGCATGGATTTCCGCTGCCGAGCAGCTGATAAGTCCCAATATTAAGCCCAAGGGATTTGGGATAGGGATAGGACTTGGTATCTGGTTTCCATCTGCAGCCTTTCTGATGGGGAAACTCACGCGTGAATCAGTGGCGCTGTTAAAAACAAGTTTTAAAATCATGATGCACAGAATGTTAGGTACATTTTTCCATATGTGAATCACAGCATTTTAAAGTTATTACGATTATGAAAAACCCGAAAACCCAAAGACATTTGGAGATCTATTGAGGTTTTTTGCCGCTTGCGTATGACTAATACCTAGTAACTATTGTTGCATTAATACACACACAGCGTATGCGTGTGGCTTACTTACACAAGCTGAATAGTTGGGGCGACTATCAAAAAGCCTTTCAGGCATTTGACCAAACTACCATTTCATACTCCGCTGCCAAAGATCAAATTGTTCAGCCTACCCCACCAGGTGATATCAGAGAGCAGCACCTGACCGATAGGAAACTTCCAACGCTGCCACCAGTCGACCTCCATCCGACACACGATGATTCAGCCAGAAAATGTGGCCAAATAAAGAAAAGTATTTTTAATTTTAAATAATTATGTCAGCCAGATAAAGGCAGCAATAGCAATAGCAATAGCAATAGCAATAGCAATAGCAATAGCTGTAGCTGTAGCTGTAGCCCAAGCACAAACGATAACAATAACAAATCACGCACGTTCGGGCCCCCAAACAATTGCGATTACGAGTGTATTTATACAAGCATGTGTCTGCGTTTGTGTGTCCCCAAATTTCTGGGATTTGTGCGCGGGAATCCCCCATAATCATCAGAATTCGCCCACTCAGGCACTCACACAGTCGCACAATCGCACAATCGCACCATCACGTGTGCGGATTTTGGTTTATATTTGGCACAAGTTGGCCAAGATAATATATAACCAGTCGGTTCAGTTCAGTTGTCCGCGCTGCGTCCGTTAGTCTTGCCTTGGTGTTGACTTATGGAAATGGCTCCCTCGGCGGGGAACACATTTTGCCATCCGCACCCTCTTTGCGGCCAAGTTGGTGTATGTAAATAACTGAAAATCTATAAACTATTAGTGTAGTATAACCTGTTGCCAGACTTTTCTTATGCTAAACGCCGACGTCTGACGTCAAGAGCTCGAGTGAAACTGGCCCTTTTGGGTGGGGAGAAAGGGGTGTGATTGCATGAATTTCTAATTTACATTCAAACTTTGCCCATCCACAGACGACAGCTGACCGCCCGCTCGACGTCAGCAGGAGCAGGAGCAGCGGTAGCGGAAGCGGCAACAAAACGGCCAGCACCAGGAAACCAGAGGAACCGCAGCCGCAGCCGCAACCGCCGTTCGTGGATGGACGTCGTCTGAACAGGATCTGGTCGCTAATCAAACTCGTCCTGCTCATGGCACTGCTCCAGCAGCCTGATCTCTCCGGCGGCGGTTATGGCGTCTCAGCGGCACCCAGCCAACTGGCAACCGCGCCCAGTTCCAGCCACCTCGATCATCCCAAGCACCTACAGAAGCATGCCAGGAGCGCGGCCTATTTCCGGCTGACCTTCCAGCAGGAGCTGAATGCCAGCAGTGCGCATCTCGACTGGGAGAACACCTGCAACCTGAAGCCCACTGGCCTGAACGAGACGCACAGCAAGACGAAACGCTGCAAGAAACGCCAACGGGTAGGTTCAAATCAAAATTCGCCATCGACGATGAACTGAGTTAATATCATTATGAGCAACTAATCAACGTCAATACCGTTATATTTGCATCCATTGCAGGTGCTGCAGATTCTACAGAACCAAACGGGCCGCGAGTTGAGGGGCATCCAGGCCGAGGACAGGGCCAGGATCACCACCAATGCGGATAAGCAGGCCACAAACAACACCAAGACCCTCGATATTGTGGAGAAGAAGAAGTGGCGCTTCTACAAGGGAAACTACAGGTTCCTGCCCCGTCTGAATGTCACCAGCAAACAGGTGAGCACACTCGTATATAGTATAAGTATATAGATCGTCATCATCAAACACTCGCGGGGGGGCCTCCTCGGTTGCCAGGGAGCTTGAGGTGATAAAAAAGAGGGTCACGTGAGGCGTCCGCCGCCCCGTTCACCTGCGTAGGTGCAAACAGGCCGTCACAAGCTAATGGCGAGTGGAGCGGTCATATGAGTCCAAGTGTGGGGAATCGTGCCGGCAGCCGCGAGAGTGGTTGCCATACTTTGGCTACGTGATTAGGGGTATCCACAAATCGATAGATCACTAGATCTTTAGATCTTTAGAATGCTGCAAACTATGCCAATATAGCTTGAGTTATATAGCTGATGTTGGTGGACTTGTATTGCAAACACTTCAATCAGCTTGAGTACTGAGCCCCAGGGCAACTTCTCAATCGCACCTCGTTCGATTCGTCAGCGCTGGCCGGCATTTCGGGACGCCCCATTAAGCGTCCATTTGCATTGGCACGAGGGAAAACATTAGCAATCGATGCCATAACCACATTAAGATTAAGAGCAAATTGACGGCGCGCGCGCTTTTTTGATTATTGTTTATACAGATCCAATCCAAACATCGCAATCCCCCCCAAACCGGCCTTGATCCAGCGATCACGTTTTATGGCCCATCCGTAGATTGGATCGATCCGAATCGAGGCTGCTGCTGAAGCAGAAGCTGTATCTAAAACTAAAAGCGAAGCTGTATCCGAATCCGAATCTGAATCTGAATCTGTATCTGAAGTGGATAATTCGTTGGGTAAACAAAATAAAATCAAGCGGCACATTTTATTTACACTTTTGACAAGTAAACAACAACAAACAGAAGCTAATCAAATTTCGAATTGGATTCGCCACGGACATCTGAATTATGGCGCGAGGAAAATTATAGAGCTTTTCAATTTCAAGACCCACGAGTTCCTGACAATTTGCTTCAAATAGAGTGCAACCGCTTAGTAATGCCAAATTGCCGGGGTCTGGGAAATTTGGAAATATTTTCGCCCTGACACAGGTAAACTGGGTAAATGGGTAAATGGTAAATGAGCTGAGGAAAAACCCGGTGTGATCGATAAGCCAGTGAATAATGGAAGCGAAGTTTGGCGGCTGATGGGCAGAGTATGTGGAATGTGGGCCCAGGAATGGACTAAGGGTAAGGGTACAGGTCGATACGTGGCCACAAGACACACGCCCGGCTTAAGGAAGGGTCTAGCCCAGATTTCAGTGAGGTGGAGGTCGCTCCATGGATCGATCGAGATCGGTGTGGTTGCCCCAACGTGCTAATTCCTAGATGTCCGGGAAAGTTTCGTATAGGACAGTAATATCTGCAGATAACCAGATGAGTGTAGTTCACTTGGCATGGTCATAAACAGATACTTTTATGAGATCGCAGGTGCGGCGAAAACAAAAAACTCAAGCGTGGTCAAGAAGCACGAAAACTGCCGACTCACCTCAAGTCAGCCAAGAGTCACGATCAGAGTACGGGTGTATCTCAAAGGTCGCAAACCCCTGGGAATTTGGTTTTCTACCTTTTTAATTACCCGTTCTGCTAAACTTAGCCAGACCCATCATAGTGATTATCGCCAACACCACTCCATTCATTCATTCGCTCAGTTACGAGTCACTCAATCGTCTATTCAGGGCGATGAGCAAAATTTGGCTTTCGCTGAAATTTCTCAATTGTCGTCATAGTTGGGGAAAAGTACCAGAGCCCCGGACTGCACTGCACGAAAATTAGGGCAACAGAACTTGGTCCCACCTGCTTTGGTTGGAACCACTTTTAAATTTCCAATGACCTCTCATTCGGTATGACTTCTTTGCTACCTCTCATAATACTGGACTCAACCAATCGAGCCACCTTTTCTCACTCTGTACCGAGCGCGGAACTTGCCGCTCGGGATGTGTGTCAATATTTGGCCATCGGCTACGTCAATGCCAATTGTGCCAACTAATTGTTGACATCACCGGAACGGAGCGAAACGGAACCCAAATCGGAACCCGATAAGACGATGATGTGCCAGCGGGACTGATAGAAGAACTCTATATTTAGATGGATCGCTTCGGTACCAAGAATCGACGGCCTTCTGACGTCACGGCGCATGTATTCACACATATTCGCCAAAAAAAAAAAAGCTAAAGAAAACAAGAAATCCACTGATATCGCGCAGGGGAAGGGATCGCAGAAAGAAATGAGTTCAACGATAATATGTTCGCGTAGTTCACAACGCTCGTTCATGTAAATGACACACACACGCCGCGCTTGCCCTGCGGTGCGGGGTCGGGGGCGCAGGCCGCGGGTCGTATACGCGATATGTGATTCATGTGAAACAGAGCCGGTGGATTCCCCCGAAACTCCGGCGAGAGCGAGCGCGGGAGGGCGAGCGGCGAGTGGCGAGCGACTAGCGGCATGAATGAAACGAAGAGCCAGCGACGACGTCACAAGCGGGCAGCCGAAGCGCAGCCGAAGCGCTCAGAAAACAGTTACGAGAGAGCGGCGAGTGTTCGGCTCCATTTTCACTTTCGGCCGCCGGGCAGATAAGTTTCCGGGTGGGCAGGGGCGGTGGCGGCGAGGGGTGAGGGAGCGGGTGCGGGTTCACTCAACCCAAAAACAATGAAACCATAGGATTTTACTATGCGACATATTCCCACCATTTAGATATCGAACATGTTCGCGGGTTCAAGGTTCCGCCGTCGCTAATACTTTAATTTTACAATTCCAATTTGGGATTTTTGATTTTAACCGGGAGCAGTACATTATAAAAGGTTTATAGATAACGACGACTTTCATTCATGGAGAAATAATAAATAGTTATTGGGAATTTACTTTGCTATATAATTTTAATAGATTTCAGTTTAAAAGACTTAAATAATCAGACCATATACATAATAGAATAGCACTATAAGTCGATGGATTCTAAGCCTTATCAAGAGAGAACCCCTCGTTGCACATCGCTATCAATCATTTATCAGTACATTATAAAAGTTTTATTATTCAATAAAGATGACGACGACTTTCATTCATGGCGAAATAAGTAATAAGTTTATGGGAATTTACTTTGCTATATAATTTTAATAGACTTCCGTTTAAAAGACTTAAATAAATATACCATAAATAATATAATAGCACTATAAATCTTATGAAGAGAAAACCCCTCGTTGCACAGCGCTATCAATCATTTATGATCACATTCATAGTATACACGCCCCGATAAAGCCATTCAACTGACCCGCTTGCAACCTTTTTCGTACCCATTGCAGTTGAACCTTCGACATGCCCATCGCGACCTGCAGATTTACGTGGGCGCCTTCACGTACATGCGCAACATCAAGTTGCACTGGGACCTGGCCAACCTGAAGGCCAAGAGCGTGCTCTCCGACGAGCTGGACCGGATGCGGAAGTCCGCCCGGGAGGTGCTCTGCAGCGTGGAGGAGACCATCAACCTGACCAACCTGCTGTACACACCCAGTCGGCCGCGGGCGCAGCAGCCGAGGGGCCACAAGAAGCGGCGCCAGGCCCCGCCGGTGGTCACCTACAAGATCCTGTCGCGCAAGCTGATGGAGAAGCGCCTACAGCAGTTCAACTCCACGGTGGTGCCACTCGTGCCGCTGCACCAGCAGGCGACCTTGGCCGCCCGCGGGGAGGATGTTCCGGCACCGCCCGACGACCTGATGGTCCTGGAGCAGCACGCCCTCTTCACCAAACTGAAGTTCGTGCAGTATCTGAAGAGCATCCGCAAGATACTTGCCAAGCAGCGGAGGAATCTATGCTAGAAATCTAAGGCCAAGAGCGCAAAGAACCGGCGAAACCTCCATTCCACACAACGAGGCTCATTCCATGAAGACATACCTAATTTATTAAACATCCTGTATTTATTAATCACGCCACGCCACGCCACACCAATCACGAATCACGGGGAAACCCCGACAATCCCAAGGCTATGAAAAACCGAATGTAAACAATCCACCACGGAAGTGAATGGAAGATACCCAGTTTTCTCGATATCTTAGAGTGAATGTTTTAATGACATTTTTTTTTTTTGATAATGTTAAGTCTTACTGTATTATTTATTACTCCGAATCGCCAACAATCTGCCGCACATTCCGCTAGTTACTAGGTATACTATATATACTTTGCCCTGTATTACGATGCTGTGATAGTAGATGATTAATGAAACACAACGCTCCGCAACAGCCACAAACTATATATCTCCCACGACTATATTTACGCTCGGATATATGTAACTAAGCAACTAAGGAATTGACATTTTAGACATCAAATGCAAATATAAATACAAGCCATGAAAGTACAAATGCCCCTGGAGTTTATCTGCGGATTGGGTGGTCTTCTGCTGGCGCCATATCAATTACACAATTACACTCGGAACACATCCTCATGTGGGTAGGGTTACGAGATAGATTCCCACCGAAATTGCGCATACGCCCTGTTCTGGAGAGAGAGCGAGAGAGAGAGAGAGAGAGAGAGAGAGAGAGAGACATAAAAGTGTCCAAGCAATTCCCTTTTACGAGCGTCGCCGTGGCTTTAATTGCAGCAGAATTACGCGGCATTTATAGACTTGTTCAAATATTTTATGAGCCATATAATAATTCTCTCCCCTGGGTTTTTCGGATTGGGTCGGGATCGGGATCGGAATCGGGATAGGAATCGAGGTCGGAGTCGGAGTCGCAGTCGGAGTGGGGGTCACCTTTGTCCCTTTTTGTCAGCTGCAGACAAAACACCAGCGATTTAACGACAAGAAATGTTTGTCGCCGCCCTTGATTCACCATTCTCCATGCTCGAATCCCCCTCCTCGGCTCTTCCTTCCACAGATCTCCAATTCTCCCGGCCTTATCGCTGGGCCGGAATCTACGCGCGCACCTTCACTGAGCCCTGGATTTTTGATGTTCTCCTCTGCGGTTTGCCGGAGTACCCGAATCGGGTTTATCGCACACAATCAGCAATTGTCATTAATTTCGGACTCGGTGTACGTGCTCCGATTTGTCTGCCCAGCTCCTCCATCCCGATCCCGATCCCGACTCTGACTCCGACTCCTTCTCGGTGACTGATTCAACAATTTAATATGCCAAAGATAGAGCGACAGAGAGGGATGCATTCCCATTCTCCATCTCCATCTCCATCTCTGTCTCCGTCTCCGTCTCCAGTTAAGATGGTTATCGGTCTGATTTTATTGTGTGCTCTCCCTGCGGCAGCCTCTGCGCCGTCCGCTGATCTGGCCAAGATCTGTGGCCAGTGATCTTGGCCAGGTCCGAGTTCCAGCCGAATGAGGCGCACATGCAACTATGCGATCCCATTCATGGCCATCCGCTGATATCGCCCTCTCCCTCTGGCCGCTTTGCATGCAGGCTGCGTCAACTGCGTCAACCCTTTTGTCCCTTTCAGGTGCACGTAGCGCACATCTATCTTCAGTTTTGATAGGTTTTTATTGGCCTGACCTTTATTAAATTGAAAATTATGTCTTTCTATGAGAAATGTTGAAATGCCTTCACCCCCCTCTCTCTCTCTCTCTGTCGTTCTCTTTCTTTCTCTCTCTCGCAGCCCCTGCTTTTCGGGGCATATGCGTTACATCGTGCGGGTTGTGGGAATCGAGGTTTCCAAGGCTGAGTACTTATAGAAATTAGTGGTTTTGGTGCTTTTAAAGACCGAACCCGAGTAAAACATTAATGATGACCTCTGCAAACAAGCACTTTTATCGGATATCCATAAGCAATTCAATTTTAAATACTTTTTCTTGAATGAGAGTATGTTTCTGGAGAAATATGTTGCTAGATAAATAGAAAAGATCAGGTCCCTAAACTGATACCCCAACACCCCGCAATCCTGTGAAGCAAACCTGTTTTAATGGGTAGCCGCGCCGTCGAGACGCTGTTGGGAGCTCTCCTCTCCTGGCTCCTGCTGAATGAACTTTTGCGCCTGCACTGATCTAATCTAAATGTTCACTTTGTTTTGTTTCTGTGTTCGGCTCAGTTTTGAATCTGGATATTTTGTGTCCAACTCGGCCCGTCACCAGTCACGTGCATGGAACTGTTTTTGTTTCTGATTTTTGTGATCTTGGTCTTCAGCGCGGCGGCAATTAATTTAAAATATCTTATTTCATTTGGTGTTTTTCTTGCTTTTCCCTCTCTTATTTTATATTTAACTTGTATTCGCCGCGTGTATTTTTGAGTTATGTTTTCCGCTGCAGATTTCCTCCGATAATGGCGTTACATTTATGTTCCCTAAGTGTTCCCAAGCCCCCAGATCTGAGCGTCTCGACGACAGCGGGGCGTGGCGGTGAGACCGCCCACCAGGGCGTGTGTCCAGTGTCCAGTAACTCCAATAGTTCCGATTGTAAAACGATTCGCGTGGAGATTCTCATTCGCGACTCTCCCACGAACCGAAATCACTGGCTCAGCAAATCCGTCCGCCTGTGGGAATCTCCTCGCCAAACGGCAGATTCTCCGGGAGAAAGGGGAGCTCGAGGAGTTGGCGGAGACTGCGGAGTCTGGCCATCTCACTGAGGTGTTGAAATCCCCGGCCACAACTCTTGCCCAACTCGCTGCTCAGCAGTTTCTCCGTTCACGGAATCACTCCGACCGCTGGCCATCTGCTCATCTGATCTTGGGCAATCAACAGTCGCCGTAAAATAACGAAAAATAAAATAAAACCTCCATTAGAGGCGATCTTATTGTAACATAAACATAATTGTCGAGCTGCAAAATTCGAGGTTGAGCTCGATTTGCTGACGGCACTGAAAACAGTCAACTTGCCAGAGTGCTGGATGAAAAAACAAAGAGTGTGACACTTCCCAGAAGTTCAGCGTCGTGTCAAAGGAAGGTCTTCTCCAATTTGAGGTGAGCCACGGAGACTTTTCACTGCTTTTTGATAAAAACAATAGACTTCAGACAGCTTAGTAAGTCAGTGGTGTAAGTAATTATTGCCTAATATAGATATTATACCTTTCCTTATTAATATTCCATATTTGAGTGCCTTTTTGTATCTTTTCCAAAGAGATATTTGCCTCATATTTGAGTTGCTACATGGCCAGCTGAAATCCTTTTAACCTTTTTTAAAATCCATTCAATAGCCATCTGACCAAGCTGACCAATCCCGATGCCGTCTAAGCGGCGCCTTGGCCCAAATAAATTACGATCACTTAACAATGAGGCGGCCTTTTCATGGCTTTTTTGTTTTTGGCGTTTTCATGCAACCTCCCGAATTTTCCGCTTAATAAGGTCGAAAGGTGTTTTCAATTGCGAAATGGGATTCGGATTCAATTGTCTGCACTCGAGCACATAAAGTGACACAAATTATGAAAGAACCACCGAGGGATCGGATCGATCCACTCAGATCAAAGGCGACGCGACGCGCCCACTCTGCAACGGCCAACAAATGACAATTGAATCGCCTGCCAGCGGGACAAAGGCGGTACTGTCCGGGAGCGGGGGTTGGGGGGGTGAAGCGGTACGAGAATGTGGACGAGGGGCAGCTGGACAGTCGCACAATGAAGTGATCAGTGGCGGACAATGGGCGAGCGTTTTTAATTGTCAATGAGTGCCACATCAGCTCTTGACCTTTTGCGGCTATTTGGGAAACAGTTGCTCATTCCGTGCGAAAAAGGTGGCGGTGGCTTCCCACCCAGGTGAGATTTGATGTCCTTAAAAGGGAATTCCGATGCAACGCTCTGGCGATTCAGATGCCGATTTTGATGGCCATTCCTACAATGGAATTGATATAATTAATGGCCAGTTTGGCGCCAGACTTTCGGTACACGAAGAGGGAATGAGGAGGACTGAGGGAAACCACGTACACTCAGAGAATATGCGTTCAAGTCCAGTGTTCCAGGACAATTTTATTAGGTACAATACAGATATGATATCTTTAGTATTAAAAAAATCCATTGATAAAATGTATAATTAATTAGTACGAGCATATAATGTACACTGTACCTTTTTTATTCGTTTCATATTATATGTTACACCATTTTATAATTACCCAATAACTTAGTAAACTATCAAAGGATTAAAGTAAATAGTATAGGTGGAACTTATATTGCTGTATTCCCAAATTCGTTTATATGGCTCCCCACCTTGATGCCATATAATGAATAATATAACAATGAATAACATGAATAAGGATAACACATTCTCCATGTGCACATACTTTGCATCCGAGTTTAAATCTGGAAAGGAGGCGAAATTGATGAGCGTGTGCCTGCGTTATCCTGGCCGGGAAGGGGCGGGGGTGGTGCCAGCTTATCGCTGGACAGGATCAGGGCGCAAACAGAACCGATACACCGATCGAGGGTGAGGGAGAGGGGGAGTGTGTGTGAGAGAGAGAGAGAGGGGGGCGCAAGTCAATCAGTCAAACAAGAAGGCAATCACTCAATGGGAACACACGCATACTCGTACTCTCACCGCGGGCGGGGGGAGTGGAAGGGGCAGGGGCAGGGGCAGGGGTAGGGGATAGGGGAAATGCCGAAGGGTGAGGTCACAATTCACAAGTGGCCCGTCAAATATTGACGGAACCCCTTTCGGACAAAAGGGCCAGGACAAAACTTCACAGGCGAATGCGATGGTCAAATATTTGAATATGGAATCCCGCTCCCTACCTCCCCCGCTCCCTTTTAAGGGATGTGGATGTGGATGTGGATGTGGATGTGGAATGCGGTGTCGATCTTGTTAACTGATATCATCCGTTGCAGTTGCAACTGCAGTTGGAGTCGCATTCGCCGCCAGTCCTCAGATACTCAGATACTCAGACACTCAGATGCTCA